ACTGAGTTCGGCCCGGAGTCATTGTCTCTCCAGTAGCACCCGAGCGCAGACGAAGCACGCATGCAGTGCACGGCAGAGGAGACAGACAAGGAGGGACCTTCATGCCGCTCGTAAGGTCGTAAGGTCTGTCTGGCTGCAGACCGACCCCCCGACCCGGCCCCGGGTCGTAACTTTTACCGCCGCGAGCCAAGAAGCGCAGACATATTTATCGATGATTTCCGGTCAGTGATCTGGCCGGCGCGGTCCAGTACGAATAAAACCGAAAAGAAACACAAGAGCTCCGCGCCGCGAGTGCGGTGCGCCACGCTGACCCCTGTCCGCCCCCACCCCTCCCCCGGTGTAATCCGAGTGCGGGGCGGGGGCGTAAGTCACTCCCACTCACCCGTCTTTCGCTTCTCCTGCTGCAGCTGGTCGGTGCGCTCGTCCACTAGAGCCTCCAGGTTGTTGGCGTACTTCTCCATCATGGCGATCATGTTGTCGAAAATATTGGGCTTCCTGCGACAAACATCATGTTTATTGTTAAATTATTTTTTCGTGGGGTGTGCGAGAAGAGCACAGCTGCCGGCCAAGGAGCGTACCACAGCCTGGGCCTGGCGATGACACAAAGAGAGTGGGGGTGAGGGTGTTTTCGCCCCCGGGAGAAACGAAAAGGAAATAACACCAGGGAAAAAAATCCCCCCCCCCTGAAAGTTTGGCCCGCAGCAGGCTGCGTCCGTTGGGGAGGATGCGACGGGGCGGCCCGGATAAAAGTACATTAAAAATGACACCGCGAGGAACGCGGTTCAAGCGCGGTCCTGCAGGGGCGCTCTCCCGCTCCCTCCGGCCGGCTGCAGCCGGTTCCAGTGGGTTCCAGTGGGTTCCAGCCGGCCCCGCGCACACACTTACATGCCCTTCCTGAGGGGCCGCAGGCGGGCGCGCACCGCCTTGAGGTCCGGCCGCTGCTCCGGGTCCTCGGCCCAGCACTCCTGCAGGCACTCGCGCACGAAGTCGAAGCTGTTCTCCAGGCTGTCCAGCGGCGGGCGGTAGGGCGGCTGGCCGGGCTCCGGGTGCAGCACGCGCCGCAGCACCTCGTCCACGGCCAGGGCGCAGTCCCCGTACGGCCCGTGCCGGCCCTGGATCTCGTACAGCACCACGCCGAACGCGTACACGTCGCCCTTCTGCGAGCCGCGGGGGTCGACGCCGGCGGCAGCGTCCCTGGCCACGGCCTTGGACACGCTCAGCAGGCCCATCTTGGGCGAGGTGAAGGTGGGCGAGCCCGGCGGGGCCCACATGGCGGCCAGGGCGGCGCGCAGCAGCTCGGGGGCCTGGTAGAGGAGGCCTG